GTTGGAGAAACCCACAGAAACAGTTGGCCTGAAAAAGGGAAAGCATATATCGACCCCAGACGCTTTCCCTAACTTATAATAATAATAATAATAATAATAATAATAATAATAGAGAAAAAAAGAAGACTATTTTAAAACAGGAAAAAAAAATGTTTCATTCTTACATATATAGTCAACCACCAGGAGCAATCTGGATTTTCTGAGAGAATATACAATCCACTAAAAAATGTTCCATTCTGATTTGGTATTTTTATCACATTAACAGCTCACTAACCTTTCTTTTTTGTTGCCCTTCTTGTTGATCCTTTTCCTCTTCCTAACTAGTTCTGCTGTATTCTTCCATGTCCTATTTCTTCATGTGTGTGTTTGTGCACCAGTGACGTCTATTGAGATTGCTTACTGGAGGACATGGAAGGAGTCATTTACAGGGACATGGACACCTTACTAGTAGGTACTCTCCTGAAAATAAATCTCTCCTTCCATCAGCAACCACTAACTACCTCTGGACCCTGGAAGGAAGGATCTCCTGAGTCCTGTACCCTAAGTACTGTTAACTGCTTATAAAGCCACAGAAAAGGGTGGTTGCTTGCAAGTCCCTCCTATCTGCTTGATAGAGTATTTTAGGGCCCATTCTTGTGTAGGTCTTGTGCAGTAATTACAGCTACTATGAGTTAAAGGTGTTGTATTCATGTAATGGCTAGAATACAACATTCCACCCCATCTTTAGGTTTTATATAATTTCTGTACCTTCTTCCTCTGTGTTTTTAAAGTATATGGTATTCTAGATGTCTCAGGGTGAACACTGAAAAGGCACTTTATTCTCAGCATTTTGGCCAGTTTTGAGTCCCCAAAATTACCTCTTCTCACTACAAGAAGAAACTTCTTTGACTAAGAAGACAGTAGTGATATATAAGGATGAAAATAGCTGTTTAGATGATAATATGATGTGCACATCAAGTTCATTTAGCAGAACAACAGTGATGTTTTCAACACAAGGATCTGTTCCCTCCCCAGCATGTGTAGTTCACCAAGTAGACTGAATCAGCTTTGAATTCTTCTCAATCCGAAAACAATTGGTTACCCTGATATCACAATTCCCATTACTTCATTGGTGATCTTATCTTGTAAGGCTGCTTAAAGTAAAGGAAGAGTGTCCACAGCTGAGTAATACTGTTGATGACAATCTCCCACTATCAGACTGCATGACACTTTCTGGTCCTATGAGAGCTATTCCGCAGAAAAGCATATTTCAAGCCAATTCACAGCTTGTTTCATTATGTACTGTGACAATTGTTTAAAGACGTCTTTAGAAATAGGTTCTTACCAGCTAGTTTTGGGGGCAATGGACAACAGCAACAATTGCCAGGTTATTTGGATACGGAGGCCTTTTCTAGGCAACAACTCCTAAGGGGGTATTTCAGCACTAGCAATGAAGTTTTAAT